GCCGAGTCGGCGTAGGAAGGGTTAAAGAAGAGACTGTGTGTCTCACACGCCACCCGGAACGGCAAATGCGCTTGCGCACGGCTACTCCCCTCTTCCTCTCCCCCCCGCCTTCAGGATTCCAGATGTGCCTGCGCAAGCCCGTGGCCTTTCTGCGGCACATGCGCATCTCTCACGCCGCGGGTTCCTGAGAGGCGCGCGCAGCCTGTCGCAGGCCGTTCTCTTTCGTGAGCTCCGAGGAGCAGCCGCGCGCTGCGCTCCCCGGGTTCCGAGCAGCCCGCGGGGGAGGGCGCTGCTGGTGCGAAGCCTGTTGCACGGGCCAGTGCAGCCCGGGAAAGGCGCCTGTGCCAGGAGCCAGGGTAGCTACTGGGGGGGCGGGAGGTTAGTGGTAAGGAAGCTGCTGAAAATCACGTGCACAGTTCTCGCCTCTCTGTTTTCAGCTCTAGTCCTGCATAAAGCGCCCGCTCCGCCCAGAGGTCTGCCCATGTTACTCAGGGTGCGGCAAATGCCTTGGCCTGGCTAGTAAAAAAAAAAAAAAAAAAGGGGGGGGGGGGAGGTCGGACACTTGCATTTTTTGCTTATATTCTGAGGGGTGATATGTTGGTGCAAGGGAATAGCGACCACTTCAAGGCACAATCGCTTGAGTACCAATGAGGGGCATCAACAGATGCTATATGCCCTTGGAATGTGGGAGATGAATCTTCTTCTCATTATCAACAACCACCATGATGGGCTCAATGCCCGTTGGTGTCCCATGCTTCCCTCACTATTTCCTTCCATCTTTCCCTGTCCAATGTGGAGTGGTTTAGTTTCTGTAGCCTAGCTCCGCACTAACCTACTATATCATCTACCCATTCCTGGTGGAGTCTGCCTCTCCTATTCGGATCATCCATTATATAACAACTCCTCTCAAACACCAATATCCTTCTCTTCGAATCTTTCGTCATCACCCATGTCTCACATCCATACAAGATACATGCTGCTAAATACACACGTTTTCAAAAGCGGCGAGGAGTCCTGTGGCACCTTATAGACTAACTGAAGTGTAGGAGCATAAGCTTTCGTGGGCAAAGATCCACTTCGTCAGATGCATGTTTTCAAGATGCTCAGCTTCAGTCCTAAGCTAATTGCTTTTTTTCCAGATCTTATCCATTGCCTTCAAACTTGCTCTTACTTTCGCTAGTTCCTTCTTAAAATCTAGATCATACGTCGTCCCCAAATACGTGAATTTCTCTACGTTCTCTAGTTGGATCCCATCTACACTGATCTTCCTTCTTATTTCCTTATCTCCAAATATCATTGTCTTCATTTTATCGATATTCATAATCAGTTCATACCGCTTTTTTTCCTCATTCAGCACCTGCACCATTCTTGCTAGCTTCTCTTCATCTTCCTTGATAACTATATCATCCGTGAATCTCAAGTTGTTAATTCTCATCCCGTACACTGATATCCCTTCCTTGATTTTGTCCATCGCTCTCTCTAGGTGCATGATGAAGATACTCTGAGATATTGGATCTCCTTGTCTGGTACCTCTGCTCGTTCTAAACAAACTTCCCAACTCTCTGCATGTTCTCACCCGCTGCCTCATTATTGTTGATATCCTTCAACAACCGTATTGTTGTCTGCTATCCACTCCGTTCTGCTATCCACTCAGTATGACTCCAAGACTACCCAAGTCGCTTTCTGATCTATACTGTCAAATGCCTTCTGAAAATCTACAAAGCAATTGTAGACGTTCTTGTTCTTTTGCCGAGATTTCTCTGCTATCAGTCTTAGTGCCAATATCTGCTGTATGATACTTCTATCTTTCCTGAATCCCGCTTGCTCTTCCACTAGAGATGTTCTTCTATCCTCTTATTCGTGGCTGTTATATATAGCACCTTTCATTCCTAGATCTTAAAGCGCTTTCCAAAAGATGACAACATCACTATCCTTATTTTACAGGCGGGGAAACTGAGACACAAACTAGTGAAATAACTTGCTTATGGTCTCTTGCAGGCCAGTGGCAGAGTTGGGAATACAAATCCAGGTCTCCTGAGCCCTGTTCCAGTGCTTTATCTACTCCACCAAGCTTCCTTTCATATAACCATTGGGTATGGATTAGGGATGTTAAAAGTGGGTAACTGAGTAACCTGACGAGCCGGTGCACAGCTTTTACCAGCTCTCTCTCTGCTCCTGAGAAGCCTGCTGCTGCAGGGTGGCAGCTGACTCCCTGGGAGTGGGGAGGGAGCCTGCATGTAACCATTCACAGTAACTGATAAGTCCAGGCTTATCAGTTAACTATGTAAACGGTTATCCTGTTATATCCCTTGTATGGCTACATTTTCTAGTCACAGAATGTTAAGGATGAATAAAGGTGCAGTATCCAAGGTCCATTCAGTCTCTTGTTCATGCACTCATTTGAGTGTGTGCATGTGTGTGTATTCTTGAATGCTCTACTAGATTTAATTATATAGATAACTAAACTATGCAACCTCACCCATGTTATTCCTCTTGCACAATGTTTGTGTTTCTATACCCACCATTCAATTTTTATTGTATTTAAAATATAAAATAAGCTCTTTAGGGCCAGGACTATGTTAGGTGCACTATTACACAGTACACCAAACAGTTATTTGATTAATAAAGCTTGAAAATCTACCATGCTGTCTCACACTGTTTTTCCAATGTTTTTTGTTCTTTGCACCACTTTGTAACCCAAGATCCACTGATGATCCTATCTGTTTTCACTAACCCTCCATTTACCATTGTTTGATTTTAAAAATGTTTTGTTATGTGAAGGACTCTGAACCACTAGTGGTATTGAACCATACAGTCACTGTGAGAATCATTGCCATATTGACCAGAAGTCTAAATTAAATTTGGGTTTATACAAGTGTTCCTTTAATATCAATGCTATTAATTAGTGCTGTTAGTTTGACTACAACATTTGTTTACATTTTAGTTACTATTATTAAGGGAAACATAGAAAAATATTATTCTGAAAATCCTCAAGTACAGTGGGTTGGAACTGTCTAGATTTCATCATAAATATCTAAGATTACATGATTTTATAGGTGCAAAGGAAAGCTCAGTAAGAACTCAAAAGTTTAAGTCCTTTATTTGCTAACTGTTTCCTTTTTGGCTTTTCAGCTATTCAACTGTTATGATTCAACATTGATGAAATGAAGTACTAGCTAATGTCCCACTCCATAAATCTTGTGCTCAGTCCTTCTGTGAAAGGCCAAAAGAGTTGCAAAGTGTATAATTTTTGTTTTTTTTAACTATTTAAATGAGTAAGCTAATTAAAATGTACATGCCTTATTTATAAATAGAAATTTCTGAGAGCCTTAACAATGGTCTTGCGACTGCAAGATAGCTGTTGATCCTTTTTTTCTGTTCCCGTTGTTTGTTTGTTTACTTTAGTCTTTAGAGTGTGAACATCAGAGAGCAGTGATTGTATGTATGTATGCTATATTTGGAAAAAACCCAGCACAAACAATGGTATTGAAAAAAACAAATAAATTGTTATGTTAAAGAGTCAATTTGAGCCAAGTGGTTATCCTTCAGAAAATGGAATCTAGATATAATTAAACCAATAGATAGCCACATAAACTATGGTAGGTAAACTCTAAGATGGAAATTATTAGGGTCCTACAAACTTGTAAGCATATCCTTAATTTTATACATGAATAATTCCACTGAATTAGGGGAACTGACATGTAAACTTAAGTACATAAATAAGTATTTGTAACTTCAAATAACTAATAGCACAGAGAAAATGAAAGTGTTTTCCTTTTTCACTACACTAAAAAATATATAGTTAAATATTTAATGCAATTAATATTAACAACAAAGGAGAAGATCTTGGATCAAAATAGGCAAAAATAGATTAAAGAATATTTAAAGATCTAAGATAAAATACTTAGATAAAATTCACGCTAGGCTTCTTATGGAACTAGATAAAGCAATCTCTGAATCATTGGCAGTTGTATTTGTGAACACATGGAGGAAGGGAGAAGTCCTCTAGAGAACTGAAGAATACAGATAAAACAGCCTAACTTTGTTATGTACAAAGATATTGGAACAAATATTAAACCATCAATTTGTTTAAACCTGGAGGGTAATAAAGTGATAAATAATAGCCAACATGGACTTGTCAAGAACAAAACATGCAAAATCAATATAAAGTTGATTTCATTTCCTTCATTGACAAAGTTACTGGCTGTGATGTAGTGGGGGTACCTGGCTGGTTTCTATGCTGCTGGCTCTGGGGTAACCCCCACTGGCTGCCGTGGGTACCACGACCCAGAGGCAGAGGTAATGCCAAACTTGTTGAACCAGTGGCCAGACACCCCCCATGGAGAGGAACAAAGGAAGGTGGATGCTGCCCTGGCTGGGGGGCAGGGCTGGAAGAGGGTTGGTTAGTTCCTGTCTGGAAGGCAGGGAATAAGGAGCTGGGGAGGGGGCTGGGACTCCCCTATCTCAAAGGGGGGCACTGAGGCCTCTTAGCCCCAGTTCCTGTAACCAGATTACATCTGTGCTGCGCTGTGCTGGAGGAGCAATAAACCACCCTCAATTCCGCCGGC